TCCAAAGAATAACTGATAAATTCTTCCTTTCCACTCTCTCTCCCTGGTAGCCACATGTGACTCAATCCCCCTTCAAGAATTTTTTTAGCTGGAAGAAGTGCAGCTGAAAAAATTTACTGACAAATTTCAGCTTCAGCACTTCTCCAGATCTGATTTTGTATTCAGCTCTAGACATGTTCTTCCAAGGACAGCACCCAGTGAGTGACTGCTCAGTGTGCTATTAGGACCAGGGTATTTCTGCCCAGTGTGGCCGGTTTCTGCTCTTGAGCCTCCTCCCCCAGTAGGTTGGCCAAGACTTTGTCTGATTTGCACTGTAGTTTGAATTTCTCTATATTCAACACTGCTTTTTCTACCTTTTCTTTTATGGGTGTATTAGTCCATTTTTTTATTACTATTACTAAATACTTGAGGTTAGGTAACTTTATAAAAAAAGATGTTTATTTAATTCACTTTCTGCAGATTCCAGGGCATGCATCTAGTTAGTGATCGCCTTCTTGCCAGAGTCTCGTGGTGGTAAAGACCATTTCATGGTGAGAAACAGGAACGTATACAGATATGCCTATGTCCTCTTGTCTCTCTTTCTCTTCTTATTTAGCCATCAATATTAAATAATAAGGGCTCTACCCTGATGACTTTATATTACCTTATCTCCTCCGAAAGGTCCATCCTTTAAACTCCTATAGGAAAATTGATTTTTACCCACTTAACACTTCACAATAAGGATTAAGTTTCAACACATGAACCCTTGTGGGACACATTCAAACCATATTTAAATCATAGCTCGAGGGTGTCAGGTCTACATCACAGTCAGAGATTCTCTCTGCTTGGATACTACCTCTCATAGATGTTTCCTTCGAAGACAACTTTTGCTCCACCTTGCCCTCAGTATCTCTTTCCTAGATAAGCTAAATGGATACAATCTGTCTTAATGCTGTAAAATACATGTTTTAAAAATTATAAAAGTTACAGTACTGTTTTTCAATCTCTTCTGCATATACCAACACAAAAAAATCAGAGTGAAAATTTTATCACCTGCTACTATTTGTATTTTTCTCCCAGTATTTTGCTACATTTGTAAGGTTCTTTAATAAAGCCTGGAATCAGTTACTATCTTTTCCTAATTGTGTAGGAATCTTACCTCTTGAAGCTTGTCATTAAAAATGGATTTTCAGAGTACTAAAATCAAGTTTTAACTGAGGTAATTTGATGCTAAACAATGTAGGTGATTCCAGTAGGATAGGTTTTTAACAGTCCCATTAGAGCAGTATTTCCCAAAGGTACTAACAAGAACACTTCTGATTGACAATAAATAATCTTTCTGTAAGTACTCACCATTCTGTATTAAATATTGTTGCGATTATTTCTGTTAATATATTTTGCTATCATGATGTCTTTCTCATTTCTGACCTGAGCAATCATTGGTGTAACAAGAGGTACATGGTGTGAGCACAGTAAGTGTCTATTTCATTGAAGTCAGTGACATGATCATGCCTATACTGACATCTGAGACTTCACTGTGTTCTCAGAAGTAGAACCGCCACTGATGTGGGTAAGGCCAGAACACTATTACCATTTTCTTGACACTTTGGCAACCAATTTTCGGTCTGATAAAACAGACTATTTCTTTTCAAACAGATATTGAGTTCCAGAAGACTCTTTAAAAGTCCTTATTCTTTCTTAAACCAGAGTACTCTAAGTTACAGCTTTGCAGTAAAGAGAGGTGTAAGTCTGGAAAACCTTCCCAAATAAATGATCTCCAAGTGACAATGGCTTATTGGCTTTCTCTGAATCCTCAGGCAGAGGCCAAGGTTTGGAGCCAAGATTAAAGACTTCATGAGTCATCTGCCATGATATGGCAATGCCTGTGCTCTGAAGTCTGCACAATCAAATCTCAAACTGATTTCTCCTTTTCATTTTTAAATTCTTTTTTTGGCAAGAGAGAAAATAACTTCAGTATTCCTTTTTAGGAGGGAAATAAGAAAAGGAACACCATTCTATTTCCCAAAGTTGCCTATAGAATTTCAAAGAGTGACCTCTTCCCAGATATAGCAAGACTTATGGTGGCAATAGGAACCTGTCACCTTTTGAAGCATGAAAGCTTTAGATCTCTAACCCTGTCCATATCTTCACTGTACTTATGGAACATGATAGGATTAGGAATAAATGTCCTAAATATAATACAAAAATAATTTTCCTCCGGGAATAATTAACATTCCTGACCATGCAGACTGTCACGTGGTACGTCATGATGGCAGTAAGTGAATGACAAGAGAAGACTCCAGGTATATGGAGATGTTCAGAGCCTTGCTTTTGTCACAGCTGGCCGATTAAGCCATTTTTAGAATTTAGATTTCTCAGGGACAGAGGTTTTTTTCCTTTTATATTAGATGTACTCTGTTCCTCACACTGTTCAGTTACATAATAGGAAAAGTGCTTGTATAAAGTCATGCTTTTTTAGTATAAAACACAAAATGATATTCTTTACTTTTGAAGTTATAGGTATTCATGATACTATTAATTTTGAACATATCATATAAGACATTGTCAGAAGCACTTTCCAGCCAGAATAAATACACAGCTTGCTCTGATGTTTTTGTTGTTAAATATAGCTTTGGTACCTCTTCCTCCGTAAACCGTATTTTAGTTTGCTTATAATTTACCACCCTCTCTTTAAATGGGTGACTCCAAATGACTGTGTATTTTGCAGTTATATTTTCCAGATTTTTTTCTGGCTTTGTGGCCAAGCCTGAAATCTTGGCCTCTCCCTTCTTTGACCCATTCTGCTTTCAGTGTTTCACCTCAGTCATCAGACAGCACCTGATTAGATGACCTTCTGTCATCTGTTCCCCACACACTCTGCCTGACCTGTGCACCACAGGGTTGGCTGCCCTCCAGAAACTCACCCTGTAGGCATTTGTCCTCACTGGGAAAGATGACTCTGGCTCATCTGTAAACATTGTCCAGGAGTTGGACTCAGTATCACAAAGAGGTCAAAACTTCAGTCACATTTAACGTGTGACATGATGGCATCCTGAAAAATACTTAGCTTATCAGTCAGTACTGTGTCTATAAAAGAATAGAGCTGGAAAATGAGCAAATGTTTTTTGGAATCCCCATTCCATTGTCTTCTATTTATGTAAAACAAGTTTTAACCTTAAAGTTCCAAGCATGGTGCCTGTCACATCAAAGTAGGCATTTAATGAATATTAGTTCTCTCTCAAAATCTATTAAGTATTTACAATGTGGAATGCTAGAATGGATCGCTGGGGTACTAAATGGTGTCAGAATATGAACAGGTGGATGCTCAGGCTGCTTTATCTTTCACAGGGGGAATATTAGTGAATTCTAAGCTGAAATACAAGTTAGAATGTAAAGCACCCCACATTAAAAACTTATGGAAATGAGAGTCTAGAGAAAGGATAGATTACTTTTAGTGGGAGGATAAGAGAAAGCTTAATGGAAAAAGTGACAGTTGAAATGAAATATAAAGATTTTTTTTTCCATTTGCTTTCATACTAACAAATGTAATTTGGCATTCCTAAGGGTATTCTAAGTGATGATAAATAAGGTGAACGAATAAAGTTAATACAGTATAAGTTTGGGGAATTGCTAATGGTCAAAGTTGGCTAGAGTAGAGCACACATTAAAGGAAGGTAGAAAATAATACAGAATACTATGTTAGGCCACAGTTTGGAGGGCTTTAAATATCAATAGCAATTAGAAACTTGACATACAGGGGAGGGAAGCCCTAGCTTTGAGTAAGGAATCCTTGACTCCTAACCCCTGACAAGACTTGTTGGTATACACAGACTCTAAAGATTTACTTATTGTCTTGGGTTCAAATTTCATTTTCCACGTATCATTTTGTGACATTGAAAAATTATTTGCTCTTCTGAGCCTCAATTGTAAAATGAAAATATTAGATTGCACCATATATTTTAAAGTATACAATTATTTGTTCATAAATTTGTTGATTGGGAAATGGCAAAGAGTTTTCATGGAAACGCTTTTTTAAAAGGTAATATTTAAAATCTTGAGAATGGAAGTAGCCAAAGAAATCTAATGCTAGACTCATTATTTGATTCTAAAGCAATAGATAAAGTAATATTTTTAGGACAGTTTGAAAAGAAAGACTTAATGAAGACAAGAAAATCACTTTGAGTTTGGTCTTAAAATGAAATGCTATAGGGACTTAAAATTGATTAGTTTTTTTTTTATAAGAGAAAGGAGGAATCATTTGAGAGATAGTGCACCAAATTAAACCAGAATTGTGACTTGACTGAATATCAAATCTAAAATTAAGAAGCACAGAAGTATTACATTTTTAGGTTTACATATTTTATGTTAAGTCATATAAGTGAAATGATTTAATGATTTAATTCTGGTTTACTGGGAGAGAGCTGCAATGCATGTGGAGTTTCTTGTGACATAGATTGGCACATGTTACTAATCCAGCAGTTTGGGTTGTATGAGACAGGTACTTTTCTGAGTATTGAGGACAAAATGGAGAACAAGAAAGACAGACTTCTTGTTCTTGTAGAGGTTTCATTTTAAGATTAGCTATGCTGAAGAAGAAAGATAACAAACAAATGAAGAAAACAGCAGCTAGACAAAGATGTGTTAGGGAGTATCTGGGATGCTAGGGAAGGCTTCCTGGAGGAGGATGCACTTAGGTTGAGAGTTGAATGTTTGCAGGAGCCAGAAACATGGAGTGGTAGGGAAATAGCATTATAGGTAGAGAAAATAGAGTACAGAGATGCTGGGCTTGGTTTATGCCTTGTTGTGTTCTAAAAACTGAAACAAGTCAGCTAGCAAGAGCACAGTGAACCAGGAGTGGACTTAGTCAGGGATGAGATGAAAATATGTTAGTTCACAGCAGGGCACTAACTCCCAATCTCATTCATAATCTCTTCATGATTTTGTTGAATCTTTACAGTCCCATACATGATCTCACTCATAGAAGAAATAATAAAACCATATTCTTTCCATCAACACTGGAAAAATGTAAAACTTCCATTTTTTAAGAGAAGAAAATTGGGGCTCGAAGATATTCAGCTAATTGGTCAAGGTCACACAGCTTGTAAATGACACTGATGGGACCCACATCAGGTCTTATGATTTCAGGACTGGAACAGTTTTACTTCCCGCGGTGTCGTGTTCCCTTCTTATGTAATCCTGAAAGAACAACAGAGAGTTACTGACCTCTTATCAGAGAGCCTGCAGGAGAAGCTTCTATAACTGGTGATAAATGTTTTCACCAAATAACAGTGAAAGAGTCCTCTACTTATAGCTGATGAGCTGGCATGCTCTTGCCTGCTGTAGGTTTAGGAGTAGAGGGGTACAGGGAAATACCTTGGGGCAGAGAACTGGTAGAGTGATTATATATTTATTTTCCCTTGCATAGGATTATTGTAGCAGACCTTTGCTTTCAGATGATTTGATGACTTTCCAACAAAAGCAGTTCTTCGTATCGGGACTGGATGGAATATGCTATAAGATACTATGGCATTTTAAGACAAATACGAAATGAAACGTGGAAAATAAACTGGCATTTACTCATTGGCACTCTATTAGCCACTTCTGCACTTTGCCCCTCCATTAAGTTAACTGCCAGGCTGGGGCCATTAAAATCCGGCCTTCTTCCTTCAATTACAGCCACACTTTAACTCTGCATATTCTAAGCCTTTTTAATAGAGCCATTTTCAGAAAGGATTGGGAGCTATCCTATTAGTGTTTCCCTTCCTTTCTGTTGTCATCCTCAGGCCCCTTTGCTTTTTGCAACTTTAAGTTTTGAATATGTCAATCTAGGAGAGAGTTGGGATTTCTGTTTATGATCCAGTCCCAAATCCCAGCACCCGCTTAAATGAGAGCCCTGGTTATAGAGATATATTGTACTTCTCTTCTTTCACAGCAGCATTTGCTGCTTGTTGGGGGCTTTCTGACTGGTGCAGGGGGGGCGAGGAAGGAGAGTTGGCTGGCGTTTGGGAGCAGATTTAGAGCCGCTCCTCATTGGAGGGGCTCGCTTTTCTTGAGCTGCCAGACACTGCAGGCTCAACTGAGGCGCGGAGGTGCAATTCAGGCTGGTAGAGCAGCGGGGGAAGGCAGGGACAGGCGGGGCTAGCGCGGCTCTGCAGCTGATCACACGCACCAGCACACTCACCTCGTTCCTGCCGCCCCTGCTTGCGCCTCGCGTCCTCCACCCGGGCTGCCAAAGCGTAGACGGCGACTGGGGGCCCTAGGAAGGAAGAGGCAAAGGTTTCCACCGTGAGGGGTAGGGAAAGCTGGAGCGGCGCTAGTGTTTAACCTGAAATCTGACCCGCAGCCCAAGGCTCCAACCTCGTCCAGAAGCACCGCTGTAGCCAGGAAGCGGGTCACAGCGCCAAAGAACCCCGGAGTCCTGCACCCCTTTGCTCGGCACGCCAAGATCTACTGGCGAGGACAGTGTGGTGCCCTCGGAGAGCTGTGGAGCTTAAGGGACCTGCACTGGCGCCCGACGTGGTACACCAGGAAAAGTAGGGGCGAAGAAAACAGCCGGGGACAGGGTGCGAGGCCGGGCAGCAGCTGCCTTCTGCTGCGCCTCTCCTGCCCTCGCCCGCGGGGCGAGCGTCCGGGCCTCGCGCACTAGCCTGAGCTGGGGGGTGGCTTGGGGGCCCTTGCGGGTCCTCCAGAGGGCCCTGGTGGCGACCGTGGAAACTCGGCCGCCCGGGCTCTCCTGGTGGACAGGTTTCTGGAGTCCAGAGCGGGGGCTTCTGAGCCCCGAGGACGTGGGTAGGGGGCGTCGCACCGCTGCCCAGCAGACATGCCTTTGGGCGGGATTTTGGCTAAAAGATAGGAGGCGGGAGCTCCGGGGGGAGTCGGGAGCCTTCCCGGGGGGAGGGAGATCTGGGAGCAGCGGGGAGGGGGGAGGGTCTGGTCCAAGCAGGTAGCATAGCTTTGGCAGCCTGGCGAGTTGGCAGGTGGAGTGAGACTTGTTTGTCAACTCACTGATTTTAAGCAGTCAGTGTTCTGGTGCTGCAGGCTAGCCAGCAGGGCAGTGGAAAGGTAAGAGGTGACCCGGGATGCCGGTGGTGGGGGAAGACCAGAGGGGCCTCGAAAAGCTTGGAGGCAAAATTGCACTTGGGTTCCTGTTCCTGGCGTCTCTCCTGCCCTGAGTGCCGGAGAATACAGCTGGGATCGAGATCCTCCGTCCCAGGGGAGGAGAAGCTTGTGCAGGGGTCAGAGACCACAGCCACCTGCCGGGTGCGCCCCCCACCCCAGGAGCGCCCGCTTGGCTCCCCCTTTCCTCCCCCGCCCCCACCTCCCCATTGGTGCTGGTTCACAGCGCTCGGCTCCTGCGCCTTCGCTTCGCTTTTGAATCTGGCTCGCCCCTCCGTATTATGTCTGCACTCCGCAGGAAATTTGGGGACGATTACCAGGTAGTGACCACCTCCTCCAGCGGCTCGGGCTTGCAGCCCCAGGGGCCAGGCCAGGGCCCGCAGCAGCAGCTCGTACCCAAGAAGAAGCGGCAACGGTTCGTGGACAAGAACGGCCGGTGCAATGTACAGCACGGCAACCTGGGCAGCGAGACGAGCCGCTACCTCTCGGACCTCTTCACCACGCTGGTGGACCTCAAGTGGCGCTGGAATCTCTTCATCTTCATCCTCACCTACACTGTGGCCTGGCTCTTCATGGCGTCCATGTGGTGGGTGATCGCTTACACTCGGGGCGACCTGAACAAAGCCCACGTCGGCAACTACACGCCCTGCGTGGCCAATGTCTACAACTTCCCCTCCGCCTTCCTCTTCTTCATTGAGACCGAGGCCACCATCGGCTATGGCTACCGATACATCACCGACAAGTGCCCCGAGGGCATCATCCTCTTCCTCTTCCAGTCTATCCTGGGCTCCATCGTGGACGCCTTCCTCATAGGCTGCATGTTCATCAAGATGTCCCAGCCCAAGAAGCGCGCCGAGACCCTCATGTTTAGCGAGCACGCGGTGATCTCCATGAGGGACGGAAAACTCACGCTCATGTTCCGGGTGGGCAACCTGCGCAACAGCCACATGGTCTCTGCGCAGATCCGCTGCAAGCTGCTCAAAGTAAGTACAACCTCCCCTTCCTCAGCAGTCGGGCGCCCTCGCCCCGGAGGTTAACTCGCTCAGAGCCGAGCTACCCTCTTCCCCGTTTACCTGTCGCCACAGGTAGACACTCGGGGGTCGGGAGAAGCGCTGGATGTTTGGGCAAAGAGCAAGAACTGACTAGTTCCATTCTTTTCTCACTCGCTTTTTTCCTACTCTTATTTATAGGCAGTGTTTCTAATGCACTTGTATCCCTTTCTGGACTAGTAACTCTTAAGGAGTCACGGTGTGCGCTCCTGGAGCCTTTACGGAAACGTTCTTCCTGCCTTAGCTGCTTAGAGCACTTTTGATTTGCTGTCCACACACACTACTCCTTTAAAACGGCAGTGCTAAAACTAAATCGAACAGGTTTTATTTTGAAGAAATAGGTGGTGAACTTGCCTCAACTTTTGCTTTAGGCTTGCCTTTCTGCTTTTTTCCCCTAATAATATTAGCAGTTCAGTTCTTCATCTGGACCCAGTAAGTTTAACTCTACCTGCCTTGATCTTCTTAACTCAGATCCAGGAAGCAGAAAACAAAGTGGAAGAAAGCACACCTGGTTCTCTTAAATTTTTATTTTTACTAAATATTTTCCTAGAGAAGTATTCTGTGAAAGCTTGAGTGCTTTGCCTGCAGAGCCTCTTGTTAATTTTATTCTTAATTGCTTGTTTCTATGAAGCCTTTGTCAATTACAGATTTCACTTGAAGCTTTTCAGCATCCATTAAAGAAGATTGCTTCCTACCATCAGTGGTGTAAATGCTAAAACAAATGACACATGGAGTGGTTATTAAAGCAAGGTTCTTCTAGTCGTAGGAGGGCACCACCACAAACAATAAAGGTGACCCTTAGCCTCTCATGCAATCGGAGTCTAGGGAGGAAGAATTAAGGGATTAAAAAATAATTCTTTCTCCAGATATCATTTTTTTTCATTGAGGGATTTGCCTTAGTATTTTTTTCTTTATAAATTGAAAGTGATGACCTCAAATAGTTCATAAATTGAAAATTATCTGACATTGTATAGAGAACCATAGCCAGATTCAGAACTTAGTAGTAGTAAAATGACACTCTGATAGTTATTTAAATTGAGGTTTCTGCCTTGGAAATGTCAGTTTTCATTGGCTGCATATATACTGGCTTACACAACCTCAAGTTATGTGGTAGTTGAAAGTGACTCGATTTGCTTTAAAACATTTTTATTTTGTGTCATTTTCATTTTTCACTTACAAGAACTTATTTTAATTACTCTTTGTGAAGTTACTCAGTAGTGTTTGAATTAAAGAAGTTCACTTGGCCTGTCACTTCACATCATATGCATATTTACTATACTGCTGACAGCAAGTAAGCTAAATTTTATATATCAGACTATAAAATTATGACCCTGATTCTGATGTACCTTTTAATAGATATAACCATGAATAAATAATTTGAGTGGATTATTTTATTTTATAGCTAATGAATTGCATACAATTTTTCATATTTATCTTAGCATCTTATTTTATTAACTAATGTGTAAATTAACCAGTTCATTGGGTAAAATCTAAGCAGTTGTGTTGTAGACATAGTTATTGCAGTGGTAATTGTTATATGTGCTTGTTTCTATGCATAGACCAAGATAAATCTTTCCGTTCTTTAGGTTAGGGCTACTGGGAAATAGAAACAACTTTGTTGAAATAATGCCAAAGTCTCTCTCAAACAATCCATGTTTATGTATCACTTTGGACTCTTTTGGAAGAGTAATTTACCATATTGATTGGTCTAGTAGAAAGTGAAATTTAGACTTCAGAGGCTATTTAAATTCCATTTAATATTTAGTATTTTTTAGTTTTTCAAACATATAAATTATTTGTTAAAACACATCTTTTTCAGATTTTAGGTGTTATCAAATCTTATTTTAACAAAATTAAATATAATTTGAATCAAACTATATTAATTACACACATACACACACAATTAAACTGAAGCATTCAGCCTCTACAGTGGTGAAGGTTCCTGAAAATGATTTATTTTTTGCATAAGGCCATGTACCACATATATTATAAGTAGTGTCTTGATTAAAAATATAAACAATTTATATTATTGACAAATTTGGATCAAGGTGCTGTATTAACACAAGGTGATAAAGAAATCTCTAATTAAAATGGTAGAATAATTCTAAAAATTTTTTGACTGTTGATTTGCTAAGATGTTAGTGCTGAAAGTCAGAATGATTGATATGTGGCATTAAATTTACATTTAAACCAAATTACAGTGAAATTCTCCCCTGATTATTGTGAAGGAAGAGGGGTTGATTAGTGGCAGTTCTTCACACAAGCCAGCTAGTGTATTTTGTTTGAAGTTGTTTTTTTCCTGTAGCCATAGTAATTAAATGAATTCTTACAGTTCTTGTCATTTCCTTAGGTTCATTAAAAAAATAATCATGCTTTAGAGGGGAACTAATAACATTTGGCAAAATTAGAGGAGTGATTTGCCTTTAATAGTTGCTTTCATTTTCTTTTAGGGGCTGAGTTGAAGTGACCTAAAACAGTCAGCTATATTATGGGAGAGAAGCTATACCAAAATCTCAAGTTTATAATATTTTACTATAAATTTTATGCATTCTTCTTATTTTATATTATTATATATATTCAGTTTTCTATTTTAAAGTCCACTTAACATTTTAAATGTGAAAATGGTGTTTTTAATGAAGAATATATATCATTTTAAGGCAATAAGAACTAATAAATATTGAATGATAATAGTGCATGTATTGTCTTCATATTACCTAATTTCACACTGTTTCTATATTTGCTGAATACAAGCTTCTTTATTACTATAAAAATTAAAGTTTTATTTAATAATTATAAATCATTTTCAGTTCTTGGGAAGATACAAATAATATGGATATAACTTTCTAGTATTTGCTACTATGAAGTTTTCCACACATAATTCTTTTAAATTTCCTAACTTTTGAAGAAAGTTTCTTAGCCTAATTTTTAATTGTGCTATTTACTTTTATGAAGGCAAATTTTATTGCAACTTTACTCCAGAATTCTCAGCTTGAAAATACTGAAATATCTTTAGCAATGGAATATAGAACATCAAAATATGTCCCTGGAGATGTCAGTTCTTTTTCTACTCAACAAAAATATAAAATAAATT